GTCTAAGTCTTCTTTGGTAGATCCCTCAGAATCACCATTGGAGTGGCACAGCTGGCAATCTGCCACTGCCACACTACTGTGCGAATCTACGCATCGAGAGCGCGGTGGCTGCCAGAGGCTCGGCAGCGGGTAAGATCCCACAGACGAACGCCCTAGTAAAGCAAAAAAGCAGGTCCGACAAAATTTATAGACGTCTAAAGAATGAAAATGCTCCCCTTTAAGGCGGGAACCCCAAGCCCTAGTCCAATCACAAAGGCCTCTACATATGTTACCAGTGGATCTAGGATGCCCTATCTGAGCGGTCAGACGATCGTTCAGGCTGTTTAAGAAGGGGCTTCTTTTGAAAGGGCTCTTTCGGGGTCCGGCTTCTGCAAGGGCTCGATAACAGAACGGGCTTTAGGCTCAGAAGGGATTATAAGTCGGGACCTCCACGATTCGAACATGGATATGAGTGTATACTATACCATGTTTTTATGACTGATTGAATACTCACGCCTCTATGACATCTGTGTTATTGGAATTTAGGAGGCTTAGTTTAGTTCACTCAGAGCTGGCGTAACGGCTACCCCATGTACATGTGTAGAGCTTCGGCCCGAATGGTTCTTTAGTGTAAGCGACACAACACATTTGCGGCGTCAAGTCCCTAGCCTTGCATGCAAATCCCTAGCCCAGAATACTATCACGAAGTATTCTGGAATCCTATGAAGGCTTAGAAAGTTCATTGCAATAGCGTCCCCAAGAAATATTTTAAGGAATCGTTACAGAACCCTTTCTAAAATATTCCGCAAGCCTTTTTGGGGACGCTTGCTGAGCCGTCTGAGGAACTGTCATGGGACCCTTTGGGTTGAACGGGTTCTGAAGGGCTTCACTTAGCGGCTTAGCATCTAGGGCTGACGGCGCCGCGGTTGGTGATTTGATCTTGTTGTCTTTGGAGACTTTGAGCCCCAACATCGCCTCAGAAAACACCAGACAAGCGTTCAAGCAGAACACCCAGATCCCGGCACATCCAGGCCCAAAGCAACTGAAAACAACCGGCAACAGCTGCGAAACCCCAGTATGGAGGCCTCAGTGACTTCGGAACTACAACGGCATTAGTGCCTAAACCTTAAACCCTGGATTACCTCAAAACCCAACCTTGAGATTGGAGCCTTCAAACCAAGTCCTTGTACCCAACTACTTTGTTGGCAAGCCTAAATGCTAAACCTTTAAGCCCTAAATCCTAAACCCTACTTGTTGGCAAGATTCGGGTCTGAGGGGTTTCCGGGTTGTGTGTGTAGGGCTTTTGGATTTAAAGCGGCTACTTGCTGGGCAAAACAGCGTAGTGAGTAGTTTGCAGAATAAGCAAGGTCCTCAAAAGGATGCACCGCCAAAGTCATTCGTCCCCCCCCGAAGCTTCAGGTAGATCCTACTGGTGAAGCAGTATCGATAAATCTCCAACTCTTGGCCTGAAAACCAACGCCGCTGCCGAGATCTTTGTTGGATAGTCGACGGGCATGTCGGGGGTTGTTCTACATCGGTGTTCCGTCTGGTGTACTGACTTCAGTAAGATGTCGGGTTGAAAGTTTAAGGTTTATGCTTCCCTACGTTTAGGGTTTAGGGCTTAGGGTTACAGGTTCGATAAGGCCCTTATGATTTGAGGTACACTGCCGCATAGTTATCCTAAGGAGCACTCCAGGTTACTTGGAACAACCCCCCCGTTTGCATGGTGCCGTTTGGCAGCTGCAGGTCTGTCTCAGGCCGTTTTCAACCCCTGTGAGGAGCTTAGGATTTTGGGTTTAAGTTTAAGGGTCTAGGGGTTTTGGGTTGAGGGATACCCTGAACCCTGAACCATCAGGGGTGTGGGTTCTGGTTTTGAATATAAAAATTTAGGGGTCGATGCTCGCGTTTCTGTGATGCTTGGTTTCGAGCTCAGAGTTGGCACATGGTGGTCCTAAAGGCCTACAGCACATAGTACAGAGCAGGGTATCTATACTCGGAATTACTATTCTGCTTTCTGCACGTATGTCCAATCCTTTGGGGGGCAGGTAAAGGGACCTTACCGGCAACTCTGTCGTCAAAGCAACGGAAACGGAATCGACGCTCCAAACCTAACCTCTCAGACACCAACCTGAACTCCAAGACCCCAAATCGCGATTTCGAAGCCCTAAGTAATCCGGAAACCCCAAACCCCAAACCCTAGACCCCAAAAAAATGAATTTCTAAATCCTGAAGAATTCCGAGCCCCTCAACCCTAGGCCACGGAGCCCGAACACGAGTCAGGGGTTTAGGGTATGGAGTTCATCAGGGGTAATTTCGCGCCTAGGGGTGCCGATTTCGCGTAGGGTTTCGGGTTCAGGGTTCAGGATTTAGTTCGGGTTGAGAGACTTCACTGTTGAAGCCCCAAGGATGAGAAACCTTTTTGGCAGCAGCTCTCAAACCTACCTCCAGACTCGAAGAGGCACCAGGCACGGTCGTGGGGCAGATAACTTCCACTTGGGCCTGCGCCCACTGAGCGACGAAGCCTCGCCGCTTTGCTCCGGCATCTGCAAAGCAGCAATGTAATGAGACGTTTCAACAGCGTCGCAAACATCGGTGCGACGCTCCTCGCCTCGGCGGGCTTTGCTGAGTGCTGCCCGCTCCGGGAACGGCAGTGGTGCTCCTGAATTGGGCACAGCATGGCTAGCAGTCGTAACCCAGGTGCTGTCTGCCTTCCTCTTGTCTTCGAGCTTCGCATCGCTCGCGTGGTGGCGTGGCTTCGGCAGGAACGCGCCCGCCTGCTCGCCGTCTTTTTCCTTCTGCCGCAGCACGTCAAGCAAGGCTTTGGTTTTTGACCAAGTTTTTCGTTCTGTTTCTTCTTCCACGACTTGGTCGCCTGCATGCGTCGCTCCAGTTACAGCACGTCTTGCGACTTCAGCTTTTAGGACCCTGGCAACTCCAGCCCTGCCTCCTCCGTGCGCAAGCGCTCTTGCTCACGTGCCACGGCCAAGTCCGCGCCTCCGCCTTATCTTTTCTTGCGGCTTTCCTCTCTTGTTTCCTGTTCGTGCAGACGGTTTCGCAGCTCCTGCGCAGAAAAGTGGTCCGCTTTTGCTCGGACAGGGGCAGAACGTGGCCTTGGAGGTTGGAAGCTGTTCTTTCCATTCCTGCAGGTGAATCCTTGCGGCACTCACCACCAGGTAAAAGGCCTGCGAGGCAGGAAGGGCTTTGAATCAGGAAGATTCACTTGTATGTGTTCGCACCTCCTTCGGCGAGGAGGGCGGTAAAGAGCGACAACACAGCGGGCACAGACAAGCTTCCGTCCGGGCTGATTGAGGGATGCGCGATGCTCGGCACTAGCTATTGCTACTCCGTAAAGCAAAAATGACCATGCCGCCATGCGCGCAGCTTGGAGATCCGAAGTAACAGCTCTGCCGACCATTGGCAAGACACCGTGCCCAACCCTGCGCACAACCCTGTCCCCGGCAAAACGTACCCAACAAACCCTCAACCCAAGAAGCTGCATCTCAAACGCAAACTCAACTCTGCGAGGAAAATCAGACCGACGAAGTCTAACCTAGGTCCCAAGACTGAAACCTGAACTGTTAGAGTTTCAGGATTTGTAACGCCCAAGCTCGAAACCCTAAGATTGAGCCAGAAGAAAGCCGATGCTCGATCGTCGGAGTCACTGCCTCCTTGGCGGTGTCATCGGCTCTGGACTCCTGGCTTCCCAAAGGACAGAAGCTTAGGAAAGGAATGTCCCACATAAACCCCGTAGAATGAAACCCAATAAAGCAGGGATATCCTTGTCAAATGCGCATGCTTAGGTCAACTGTGGCCTGCTTGGCGACCGAGATGCCATCGAGGGGTCTGAGTCGCACTTATACTCCTCCTGCACATCACATCGGAACCTCAGGCAGCTTTCGTTCCAATAGGGCCCCGACATTACACCACCCCATGGCACTCCTTCGGATCATCGGAGCAGCCATCTTCGTACTTAGCACGGCATCAAACGGAAAAGGCCAAGACATCGAAGGAACAGGCAAAAGTGCTCAAAACCAGATCAAGGCCAGGCACGCGATGATCTTCCGCCCTGACACGATCGATGTCGTCTGGCGAGCCGATATGCTCCGACTCTGATGAGTCAAAGGTGATGTTTGCATTGATGGAAGAAAGCAAGTACAATGCATAATAGTGCAAACGAAATGTCGACAGAATAACTCCGGAAGAGTCGGCTGCGTCTGCGCATGGCTCAGTCGGTGAAGCCTAGAGAACACCTGGCGTTTCACATCGACCCTTGACTTGAACGCAGTTTTGTGAACATACCTACATTATCCTTGCTTTCTTTCTTATTGGCATGTATGGCTGACCTTTGTGCTCACAACCGCCACAGCATGCCCCAGCGAGAACTTTTTTTATTCCAAGTTGCTGACGTCCGCGGGCCGCCTGAGACAGATGGTCCCGCGCCGGGCTTCACGCGTGGGCCGAAACTAAATATACAACATCCTCGTCATCGGAGATGAAACGAGGCTCGGGGACACGGTCCCGGGTATCATTAAAATGCGCCTCGAGGCGCCGAGCTGCTGTCACCGCAACTCGAATCATGGCTTGCTCATTTTGAGCGGCCTGGGACACGGATCGGTACCACGGTACCATAAGGCACGCGCAGATCCAAAGTGTCTTCGCCTACACAAAAACTTGGCTCCCTCATCTGCTCGTTGATTGAGCTGTCTACACACCTCAGGAGGCAACGGAAAGGCAGGCGGAGGCGTCCAACCGGCCTTCTGCCCGTGGCTTGGCACCCAGACCAGATTCCAGTTGGTGCCACGACGTCTGGCTACAGACGCCGAAGTATTGAAATCAGCTTGCCCCGCAAGTAGCGGGCAACACATTGCCTTGGTGGCCGCCTCGCAGTCCACCAATACCCACAGCCGTCGAGGAGGCCCACTCCGTCTTGACTGGACCCGTCAGTGGCCAGCACCAGCTCGGAGTGGCCGGCCTCAGCAGCATTCTCGAAAAGTCTCCTCAGAGTGTCCCGGCATCCTCGTTCATCTTCCCTCGGAGCAGCCGGATGCTCCGAGATAGGCTGGCTCCTCCACCCGGTTACGAGGAGCGGGCAGGGGAGCTCGTTCCGCTGCAAGCTCAGGGCAGCTCCACAGCAAACGCACGCGGGACGGCCAATGTCGCCCGCACATGTTCGTGGGACTGGCCTGAGGACGTCCCACGTTGCAATACCACGCCGTGCCACCCGTCATCAGGCAAGCTCGTGGCTCCGTCAAGGAGGTCGCCTTGTGATAGACACGCCCATGGCCCATGAAAGCAAATCGCATCTTGAGGGGGGGGAGGTCTAAACCAACCGCTAAACCAGGGTCCTGGCGATGTTGGCGCTTCTGCACTCGTCCACATGCGTGCGTAGACGTGAGCTTGTACGCCTCCGTAAGCCACAAAGCCGCAGGGTAACCAGAGGTCCGAGTAGCAGCCAGTGTGTCCAATGTGACGTCGTCGGACCACTCAGGCGGCCTCAGCAAAGTACGCGCAAGGGCCGACAACGACGACCAATCAGCCATCCAACGCGCATCAAGGCTCCAGCCTAAAACCTGGCCGACGAGGATTCGAGGGGCCTCAAAGGTTAAAGTCCCCTTCAGAGATGCAGCCACACTGCCCTGGATGCTTGCCAACTCCTCCTGAGAAGGAAGTGCAACCCCGGCAGTCCAGAAAAGGGCTGGAAAGATCAACGAGCGGATGACCCGGTTTCGGACGGCCATACTAAAAGCAGGGTTCGTCGCATGGCGCAGCCTAGCCCGAAGCTTGCGCAAGTTCAGCTTCAGAGGGTTCGCACAGCCTGTTGCCAAGGACAGCTCAATGCCGAGGAACCTGAGGGTCGGCACGATGGTGTAGCCACGCTGGTGCGCCAAGTCGGTCCAGGGACTGGTCGAGTCATCGGTAACAAGGTGGCACTTGCTTCTAGAGCAGGTAAGCCCTGCCGCCTGGTCGAAGCTGTCACTCCGTTGTAAAGCACGCTGGGCTTCTTGGGCTGTGGTAGGACTGCCAGCAGGGAGCCATAACACACGGTCGTCAATGAAAATGCCGGTTTCGACATGACGGGAGGATACATACTCCGTCCAAAGGTGCCCCACGCAAAGACTAAGTACCGGACTCAACGGGCAGCCTTGCAGCAGTCCAACATGGGCCGGCCGCAAGGGTGAAGTGGTGTGGTTTTCGATTATAAAGAGGTGAAACTGCTGTGCATAAAAGCCTGAGATAGTTGGATCAAATAGGCCCCCGGTGCACCAAGGTGGCACAAGGTCTCTGTGATCACCGGAACACTCAGACTGTCGAAGAAGGCACTATAAGGTCCTGCTGCACAAAGGAGCGGGTGCCCAAAGTCCAGGCTTGCAGGATGCGGGTGTGGACGTCCGCCACGCTCTTACCCGGGGCCGCTCCGCAGGCGCGAGGGCCATTCCAACGGACCACCCAAGGCTTCAGCCGTTTGGCTATCACGCGAGAGCCTGCTCGCCAGGCCATCGGTAACAGTGCCACCGGACGTGTGGCATTATTGCTTTTTGACAGCAGTACGATAAGCGAGCGTTGCCACAAACTCGGCACCTGACCGTCCTTGACAACTGTGGCCCTGAGAGTTTGGGTTACTTCCCACCAGCACATGGGCAGGGCGAGGAACATGCCGGCTTGCCAGGCGTCCGCTCCCGGTGCCTTGGAGCGCATTTTGGACATTGCGCCCTTGGGTTCCTGCACGGCGGGGGTCAAGTCCATCTCCACCTGAACGTGCTGTGGCAGCGTTTAAAGAAGGCGACGATACTCAGGAAGGTCCGCCTCAGTGGCGGGGGTCTGCCAACGCCTGGACCATATCTCGCCTTGCTCCTTGGCGAGGTCATACTCGGCCCGCCGCTTGATCCAGTTTACGGCCCCATGGACCGACTCCGCAGTTTTAACACGCCACTTTTGCAAGCAAGTGGCGCGATGCGCGCTGTGTTGCTCAACGAGCAAATTGTTCACAAGATTGAGGGCCTGTACCGGAGAGTCCAAATCCAACAGAGGAAGCGTAGGAATCACACGGCGGCTTGCCTGTGATGCAAGGACCGGGCAAGACGGTTGCGCAAGCAAGCGTCCCACGGCTGTTGAGTCAGCTGGCTTAGCCGCTGCGAGATGCGGCGAAGGGAACGCAGCGCAGGAGGGCGCACCACACGGTAAATCCCGCGGCTCCGGCTGCCAAGGTTGGCCGCGAGGCTTGGCCGGATTGAGAACCAAGGTAAGTCTCGGCCCAATCAGACAGCAAAGACCATGCCTCATCCATTTGAGCCTGCGAAAGCAAGGAGGCCAGCCGCGAGCTCGGGAAGTCCACAGAGGCGGGCTCATCCGGGCAGGGGCCCACGAATTCGGAGAACCGGGGCTTACTCCAGGCGGGCTGAAAACTGTCGCCTGCAAAGTCCACACGCACAAGGCCATGGTCCAAGACACCGGGGCTTCGAAAAGTGTAGACCTGCGTAGCCACCATGTCCGGATGTGTGATGGCATAATCGATGCGGCGCGTGTTCCGGGGATTTGTGTTGTCCGGAGGGCCATCACAAGCCTCGTCAGCAGCACGGGCAGCACCACGACTCAGGATGGTGGCGACAGTGCCTTCGTCCTGAGTGCAGTTAAAGTCACCAATCACAGCATACAAGCCGCCGAACACAGCAATCGCTTCCATTAAAGCCGAGAAGGCTTCCGAGGTGCGAGCGAGAACTTCGTGACAGGCTTGAGCCGTTCAGCACTCTGCTGAAGTTCGAAACATGCACAGTCTGCTGCGGAGAAAAGTGATGCAAACACCACGGCACAAAGACTAACTGCTGGGTTCGGACCTTTTGAAATATGGCGATCGCTTACGTGAAGGAAATAAACGCCTCCAGCCACCGTATCTGAGGTCGTAGTTGCACTTCTTAACGGTCGGTGTGCTCATTCTTTGCATTTTGGCGCTTCGAACGAACATCCTTCGTCCCATGTGCGGCGTTTCCGAGTGTGGGAAGCATGTCTTCGAAGTGGACCGTGCCAAAGCCGTATCTGAGGTCGTAGTTGCAATTCTTCACGGTTGCATTTTTCGGCGCTCCGACAGAAAACCCTTCGTCCCACGTGCGGCGTTTGCGAATGTGCGAAGCTGCTTTTAATTTTCCCAATCGACACCGCAAAAAAAACGCGTCTGAGGTCGTAAATGCACTTCTTCACGGCCGCTCATTCTGTGCGTGTTGGCGCTTAGCAAAAAAGAAAACTTTTCGTTCCAGGCACGGCGTTTGCTAATGTGCGGGGCATTTTTGCGAAATAGACCCCGCAAAAACCGTATCTGAGGTCGTAGTTGCACTTCTAAACGGTCGGCTGCTCATTCCTTGCAATTTAGCTCTTCGAAAGAAGTTTCTTCGTCCCACGCACAGCGTTTGCTAACGTACGAATATTTTTTTCCAAAATAGCCCCCTAGTCTAGAGTTTGGGTTCAGGCTTTTGGGCTTTAGCCGCTCAAACTTGACTAAAGCAAAGTTGGGCACCTTTGGCAAACGCACTACACCCTAAGCTCCACATGCTGCGAAGTCAAATCCTAAACATCCCCAAACCCTACAATCCTCCAGTGAGGAACTTGCATGACGCGACCTTTATAGTTTTAGGGTGGTTTAGGTCGAGGGTTTTAGGGTCCTAAACCCTAAACCCTAAACCCTAAGCCCCCGGGGGTTTCTTCCGGCATCGAGACAGAGCACACCGTGGCGGGTGAACATCCGCACAGGGCGAGATGCCAAATTCTTGGTCCCCAGCTCTACCCCTAAACCCTAAACCCTAAACCCCTAAATTAAATCCCTAAACCCTAAACCCTCGACCCCGAACCCTAAACCCTAGATCCTGAACCCCAAACCCAAAGCCCTAGACCCTGAACCCTATAATATCCGAAACCCTACAGGCCACACCCTAAAGCGGGTTCAGGGTTTTGGGTTAAGGTCTGGGGCAAAGGGCCCAAGGGTCGGGAACCAGGACGGATTGGAAGGCTTAAACGCTAAACCCCAAAACCTAAACCCTAAACCGTGGCTTAGGGGAGAGGTAAGTTTAGGATGGTGAAGTCTTCGGGTTTAGGGTTTCGGATTTGGGGTTTAGGGCTTAGGATTTAGGGTTTAGGAGTTAGGGTTTAGTGTTTAGGGTTTAGGGTTTAGGGTTAGGCTTTAGGGTTCTGGGCTTCGGGCGCAAGGCTTAGGGTTTGTTTTTGGGCCTTTGAAGATATGCGGTTCGTCCAATGCGATGCACAGTTTAGGGTTTAGGGCTTAGGGTTTAGCTGCGGTAGGGATTTGCGTTACACGCATGCGACACCCGCGAACCTGAGATAATGGAAACACACCTCAGTTTTTGACGAACTCATCTTAGAACTTGCGGCCGCAGCTGCAAATTGCTGCGCAACCATGAACAACGGACTGAGTAGTGTAGCAGCCCAAAACAGGACAAGGAGAAATTAGGGGCCTTACTAATTAGAATAGTGTTCTGCTCTCTTGTGGGCGGGTAGTATATTATAGTATAACTATATAGGGACTATAAGCGAATATGCAGTAGTGGCAAGTGTTCCAACCCCTAGAGAAATCAGGGTCCTACATTATACCTGCAACGGGACCTCCACTTAGGCATCGCTAGTGCTCCCCGAAGGCCAAGAGTATCATGGCCACTTGGGATTTCAGAAACTCGAGCCCCAAATAGCTGGGGTGGGCCTTGCTTTTTGTCTGAAACCCCGGCTACCTTCAAGTTGTCCGGATGAGCACAGGGCTTAGAACTTCGGCAGGCGCAAGACTTGGCCTGCGCCCACCAAAACCCAGCACCCCCTGCTGAGCACCACGTCTTCTAGTTCAACGCCGGTCCCGTTGGTGCGAAGTGATGCTGATGCTGGGTAACCATAACCCTAAACCCTAAACTGGCCCTAAACACTAGGATGATCATCAGAGTAAGGGTGATGATACTTCCTGGCCAAACACGTTGAAGATGATGGTGACAGTTTTGAGCGTGCGGGACTCGCATGTGTTTCACAAGTTGTTAAGCATCGACATGCGTAACTAGCTGGCACAGTCAGTCACAACTTGCTCATCCCATTGTGCGGTCTGCAGTCTCTGAGAAGGTGGTGGACCTGTAAACCCTGCTACGTTTGGAGTGGATGCCTGGGCGACGACTCTCCCACAGAGCGGCGGAAAGTTTCTCACCCTAAACCCTAAACCCTAAACTGTCTGCTCTGACAAGGCCACATGACAAGGTCAACTAGCACAAATTCACTGGCCTGCCACGTGTTTCTACACTTCCGTGTCGTGTGACTTCCGCACTTGGGGTTTAGGATTTAGGGTTTAGGGTTTAGGGTTTAGGGTTTAGGGTTGGAGGGGGTAGGTTTGGGACATTTTACGTAGGGATGTATTTCTAGTCGCTCATCATAACACCCCAAGTACCCACCCACCAATATTCCCCAAGAGACAGATATGCTCACCAACACCCTATATGAATCCGTCATGGATCCAATTTTCCACGTCTATCCAGTGTGAGTTCTCTGACTTGGGACCGTTCGTCTCGGCGCTGAACAGCACGGCTGTAACAAAAAAGGAAAGGCACGCAGAGAGGTAGGCCCCAGCCTTGTTGTCGCAACACCCTTCCGGCTTGCGACTTAAAGGACCCTAATTCCTAAACCCTAAACCTTGATTTAGGGCTTGGAAGGTTGTTTGGGGTTTGGGATAATGTTGTCCCTAAACCCTAAACCCTAAACCCTGTCCTTTCGAAGAAGAAGAGACATGACTCTCTACCGCAGACTGGAAAGCTCGCTTGGTACAGGTAAGGGTTAAGGGGATTAGGGTTGAGGGCTTTAGGGTTTTCGGGTTTAGGGTTTAGGGTTTAGGGTTCTAGGGTCTAGGGTCTAGGGTCTAGNNAAGGTTTAGGGTTTATTTTTTAGGGTGATCTTTGTTAGGGAGCTTGAGAAACGACAGTCTACGTATCTTGTAACACCGTAACCCGTATAGGCGTAGCCTTGCGCGGACATTGCACGCTGTCTCCCTTCTTCGGGACAGTATGACAGACATGCCCACAGCTCCAAGACCACTCCAGGACTCTTCTTGAGCTGACAGCGCGCTTGAAAAATAGGGGCTCCTTGACGACAGATGAATCATTGAAAGTGCCTAGATTGAAACTGCCATACTACGCTCAACCACAAACAAACCACAAACAGTAAGACTTCAGAAGGAGCCATCGATTTATTTTAGCCCCAGGTTGTGCGTTGTGCTGGACGCACACCAGGCACACCACATCTGGGACTGGCAAATCCAACGATGCTCACAACTGCGGCGAGTGGGAGCTCACCACCTTCGTGGTTTGTAGGTTAAGGGTCCTACCAGAACCCTAAAGAACAAACCCAAAACCCGAAGCCCTAAA